TGTGGACGTGGAGATGGGACAGTGGGTTGTCTGAGCAGGCTGAGAGGTGCATGTAATACAGCAACACACACTCTAACACCCACTAACACACGCACACACAACACATTCAATCACTGACTTGGCAGCAGCGCCAACAGCGGCAACGACAACACCAGCGTCACGTTTGCAGCAGCAGGCGAGGTATGCCATGAGTTTCAGTGGGCGGGCCGTCGCACCATCAAGCCGTGGCTGTCGTCACAGCACGCCGTCCCTTGGGCTGCATGGCAGTGCATCGCAAAGTGAGCAAGCAGCAGAGCGGGAGAGAATGAGATGAGGGTTAATTGCCGCAGTAGCATCGTCGCTGCTGATGGTGGTGTTGGCATTGCTGCTGCCGTCACACGCTGCACAGTCTCTCTTTGAGTGCAGTCATTTCGCTGTAGCACCTCCATAACACTCACAAGGACACTTGTGCGGCCTCCAGTGCATATACCCTTTGTCAACTCAACCACCCCTCCCCTCACACACACACACACACACACTCACTCACTCACACACACACACACACACACTCACTCACTCACTCACTCACTCACTCACTCACTCACTCACTCACTCACTCACTCACACACACACACTCTCTCTCTCTCTCTCACACACACACACACACACACCGCACTGCCAATGCCAGTTAAACGCCCCCGCCTCATCTTTCTCCGCTTGCATGAGCCAATGGCAACGGGGGACCCGGCGCTGGGCCACACACCTCATGTTTGATGGTGGTTTGTTTCGATCCGTCGCGCGCACCTCCGATGGCTGGTGGTCAGCTCGCCGACGCCTGCGCCCGTCGAGTTGAGAGTTGAGAGTTCAGAGAATGCTGTCCGTGAGAGGTGTGCATGCGTTGGCTGTCGGTGTGGACCAGGGCATGTGTTGGAGACGTGAAGTATAACGGTGTGGTGAGATACATGGAGGAAAAGGGGGAGCAAGAACAAGCATGGGGTTGTGTGTCTTTGTCCACATGACAACAACAACCACACACACACACACACACACACACACACACACACACACACACACACACACGCACACACACACACACACACACACACACACACACACACACACACACACACACACAGCGAATAAATGCGCACACAAGTGGAGCAAGGAAGAACCCCTCTTGCCTGCATGCACGCACGCACGCACTCAACCCAGTCAAGCATCCAAACAGGGCGGCACAAGAACGCACGTGGAGGAAAAAAAAAAGGGAGGGTGAGTCTGTACCTCTTGCCTGCAAGCAAGCACACCCGAGGCAACTCCTCACAAGCAACTCACTTCTTATGTTTATGTGACGAGACAGCTGTATCGCATGAAGTCTTGAAGTCGCATCACCCGCCAAGGGTTTACTTGTGTCTTGCTGCGTGGTGGTGGTGTGTTGTGGTGATCCTGCCCGCGTATGTGCACTGTGATGGCACGCACACACTTTCTTCCGTTGTGCCGAGTGTTTGAGAGTGAGAGGCCAAAAAAACGCAAACAGCACACTTGGAGCAGTGTGCGTGCACAAGCAGAGAAGAAGAGAAGCAGCAAAAAAAAACAAAAAAAAAAGAATAGAACAGTGACTCAGCCGGGATTTGAACCCGGGCCTCCCGCGCACTGAAGCGCTCTTGGTTAAGCGCTTGGGAGAAATTGGCAGGCGGAAATTGTACCCCTCAACTACTGAGTCGCGCTCTTGTTGTAAGTTCGGTGGAAAATCTGCATATCAAAAATTGTTCACTCTCTCGCAAGCCAAGTTGGAGGAAGGAAAACATCAAGCCAAGCAACAGCAAAACGCACACAAGAAAACAAGCAGCAGAGCCGCTTCTTCCCTTCTTCCCTTCCTCCCTTACGTCCCAGCAGCAGTCTCACCAACACACAACACACAAGAACACAGAGACATCCACTGTCCGCAACGTCTGCAAACGTCTCTCTGCAACAGCCAAGAAGTCCTAAACAGCAGAGCAGAGCCGAGGAAGAGGGAATCCAGGAACCCGTCCCTCTCCTGCCTCTTCTGCTTCTCCTGCTTTCTTCTAAACTCAACAAGCAGAAGCACTGCTAGCACTGCAGCCAACAGAAGAACGGAGCTGACAGGCCACGTCATGATCCCACGATCACTTTGTCTCATGCTCGCAGCAGTTTATTCGTTTCGTGTTCAACACAACAGTCAATCACAGAAGAACGCACGTCCACAGCAAGTAACAACACGTGACGGCCGTGGAACGAACTGAAGAACTGCAATTCAAGCTCACAGAGAGGTAAACTGAAACACAAGATGGTGCCACAACAAAAAAAAAAAAATGAACGGTCCCACTTGCCCCATCGAACAAACCCTTTGAACTTGGGCAACGCAACAACAACAACAACAACAACAACAACAACAACAACAACAACAACAACAACAACAACAACAACAACAACAACAACAACAACAACAACAACAACAACAACAACAACAACAACAACAACAACAACAACAACAACAACAACGCAGTGGTGTGGGGCTAACAGCACCTTCAACGAGTGGCCCAGCCCCTCACTCATTCAAAAAAGCAATTGCCATCACACATGGGCATCAACAGCAGCAACCAACGATGGCAGCACTCCATCACACGACCTGCTGTTCGGCCAGGCGCTTGTTTTTGAGCTCTTCAAAGCTTGGACGGTGGGCTGGGTTGTCTGCCATGCACGTGTACGCCAGTTGTTTGTACCACTCGGCAACAGCAAGCGGCTGGCCGTCTGTTCGAAACAATAGAGAAGAGGACGAGTGAGGGGGATGAGTGGCAAGATGCTGCAGTGATGGGGTGTGGGGAACGAAGCAAAACGCATTTCACGTGCGTGTGCATGTGCTTGCTTGCTTCGATAGGCGCACACACACACACACACACACACACACACACACACACACACACACACACACACACACACACACACACACACACACACACACACACACACACACACACAAACACACAAGCACGCGAGCACACGACACGCGAAACCAAATGGTATCCAGGAACCGACCGATGGATTTGGTCCAGACTGTGAATGAAGGACATGCCACTGGCGACATCGCGCAACAGCTGCAGTTTCAGGTCCCATACTGTCATCACCTCGTCCAGAACTACGCTGTTCCGTGGGCGCACCGTGGGCGTGCTCACCAAGGTGAGCTCGTCGCCGACATCCGCTGTCACGACCGCCACATCTTCGGCATCATCTTCGTCGTCGTCTTCCATTCCGCCCATCGCGGCTTGTGCCTCGTCAAGCACTGCTTGCAGGTTCTTTTCCAACAAGTCCTTGAGTGATCCCATGGCCACAAATTCCAGCACCAGGAACGGGCTGCCGTTGGGGTCTGTGCCCGCCCCGAAGAACCGCACCACGTTAGGGTGGCGCGCTTTCCTCAAGAACTCCACCTCCTTCTCAAACTCCAACACCGTGCTCTCGTCGACGGCCATGAGCGCATGCTGCAGAACTTTCACTGCCACCATCAGCGTGTCCCACTTTGCTTTGAACACAATTCCAAATGCACCCGCTGCTACACGCTTGATCAGCCTCAGCTCCTCATACTCAATCTCCCACGCCTTCTTCAGCGCCATCACCTCCTCGTCCCGCTCAGAGAGCAGTCTCATGTGCAGCTTGTCGCTCTTGTGCGACCGCGCATATCGGCGGTAGAGCCACGCCACGACAGGGACGAGGATGAACAGCCCGCCAATCACGGAACCGGCAGCGATGGCGACAACGGGCACGTCAATGCGCTCACATCGGCCGCTGGCCCCACGGCGGTGGCCCTGAGCGCAACCGCAGCGGAGAGCGTAGGTTATCTCGTTCGAAAGCACGCCATCATTGTCTTGCATCAATTCCTCATTCGACAACTCCAGTGTGCACTCCACTGGCGTGTCTTTGAGCTGCAGCACGGGCGGATTCTCTCTCGACGACACTCCTCCAGCGAAGTCAACTGGTGACAAGGCCACGGCAGCACCAGCGACCTCGTTAATCTTATTTGGTTCGTGGATCCAGTCATTGCCGGACAGGTCGAGAACGTCCACCTGCTGCAGACAGAACCCGAGGGACACAGCCGCACGGAGAGAGCGAAAATGTTCTGCCTCGAGGTTCCGCGCGAAAAGTATACGACGACCCCACCGCGTGCAAAGGGCAGGGCTGGGTTGAATACGCGTGCTGCTGATGTCTAGCACGTCCACACTCGGCACATCGATAGCTGGTAGACTAGTGCAGCCTGACACATTCAGCTGGACCAAAGAGTTGTGGATGATGATGGACTCAAGTTGTTTGTTGTCTTGGAGCAGCACGGATCTGAAGGTCTTGCTCGGGCACAGCTCAATTCGTGTGTAGTCGGTGTTCATAAGAGCCAGCTCGTGTACCTCATCTGCAAGGACTTTGCAAATTACATTCATGGGCAGTCGTGTCTGTGTTGCGCCGACCCAGCCAGCATGTAGCACCCGCAAATTCAGAGCTGGCACCAGGCTGAGAAACGTGAACGTTGCGAGCACATTGACATTGATGAGGCTCAGCGTGTGAAGGTGAAGTTCTGCCAAATGATCAAGATGATCCGTACTAAAGGCAGTGGGGTCGATAAACACCCTTGAATTGGTTTCGGGCGCGGCATCAAGTTCGAGCACCTGGAGGGGAGGCAACCCAAAGACCGGTGTCAGATCGACTTGGCGGATGCGGTGGTTCTGAAGCCGCAACTGCGTGAGCATTGGAAGTTGTGTCAAGTTAGGAAGCTTTTCCATCGGGTTTTGACTGAGCGTCAAAACCTTCAACACTGGGAACGGCACCGTGATGTCAAACACAGTGAGAAGGTTGTTGTCCAAGGCAACACGTTTGAGCAGGGAGAGTCCATCCAATTGCCCGTCCAGTGTTGTCAATCTGTTGTGTTCGAGAAAGACCTCAGTTAGCACGCGAGTGCGATGGAACAAGAGGCGCGGCAGACGAGACAGGAGATTGGAAGTGAATTTAACCACGCTCAGTTTGATACACTTGTCAACGATCCCAGAGGGGAGAGTCTGCAGCTGATTCCTCGACATGTCAAGCGTTTCGACCGCGGTAAGCTCATGAAAAACGTCCGCTGGGATGGAAGGAAGGCGGTTTCCGCTCAAGTCCAGACGTGTTAGCCGTGAGAGGCCAGAAAGACTCGTGTCAGCGAGCTGTGTGAGAAAGTTGTTGTTGAGCTGCAACCGCATCAGGCGCGTGCAATTGCCAAACACACTCACTGGCAAGCTGGACAGCAGCATGGTGCTGAGATCCAACGTGGTTACAGACACCAGGCCATCAAAATCATCAGTGGCCAAGTGCTGGACAGGGTTGTGATGAAGCCGTAGTTCACGCAGCCTGGTGAGGGGGTGAAAAAGGCCTGGCGGGAGCACGTGAAAGTCGTTTTCCGACAGTGTCAGAAATTCAAGTGCGGTTGTGCGTACGAAAGCTCTTGCATCGAGTCTCGAAATGATATTCCGGTCGAGATGCAAACCAGTGAGAGCTGTAAGGGGATCGAACAGAGTGGCTGGGAGGCGGTCGATTAAGTTCCCTGCTAGGTACAAGTTTCGCAGAGAAGCCATGCCCTTGAATGCGTCATCATTAAACCCACTCAGGGAAGTGTTTGAGAACTGTAGCTTGCTCAGCAGCGAAACAGGACGAAGGCCCTGCGTATTGACGGCCCGCAACCGTTCACTGTCACGCACCACAAACTGAACAACAGACGGGAAGTTGTTCAGCAAACTCAGATGAAGTGCATTCGCATGAAGTCCGGTAATAACCAATCGGTGACACAAAGGCCACCGAGCAACGGATAAAAGCCACATAAGTGGTTCCTCAGTCAGATCCCTTCCCTGCACGTTCAATGTGAGCGTACGGGCTGCAACTTGGTGCAAGAAGTCAACGCTGGCGTTTGTGACAGACTGCAACACAGCAGCATCGTCTACTGTGACGACCAAGCTCACGTTGCCAATGGGGCCAGGGCACGTCCCCTCAATCACACTCGCCAGTGTGCACCGTCCAGGCTGCACCCCAGGGTCAGCGCGCCGCACACGCTGGTGCTGCAGTGGTTTAGCAGGCAAGAAGCGGCCGTTCCCAGACCCGCGTGGCGCATCGGGTTGCACGTGCGGCACGTCGCGTTGCTGCGCCTCCTGCACATCGCTCACGCCATGAGCTGATGGCCGTCGTGAGCCATGCCGTGTCCCAGTGTTGCAGCACCCAAACGCCTTCATCATGCGCTGAATCGACGACAGGTCAACCGGCACCACATGCGCACGAGCGCGTGTCGCCTCCCCAGTGCCTGGTGCGCCTGATGCGAAATTGGTGTGCGCCTTGCTCCTGGTGTGTGGGTGCCGCACGTCATGGTTGCTTGGCCAAGTAAACGGAACGCCAAAGGTCTCCAATGTGGTGGTGAGATGCACGAGCGTCGCATCAACCTCACTGCACAGCGACAGCGATGCATCAGCCTGCATGTATGTGTTTTGTGTTTGTGCGTGTGCGTGTGTTTTAATATGTGTGCGTGCACGCATGAAGATGGGAACGTGAGATATGAGGTGAATGTGGGAAGCATTCGACACACACACACACACACACACACAACACGCACGCCAAAACGCACCGTCACCCAACACAACACACACAGACACTTCCTCGCACCTGCGAGCCTTGCGCGGGCAGCGCCTGTGTTGTGTGTATCGTTGTTGGTGGTGTTGTTGGCGTGCTGTGCGCAACGAAAGCTGTGCAGGAGGACGCACCAAGTGCGGCCATCACCATCACCACCATCACCAGCAGCGTAACCAGCTTCCCAGGAAATGCACGTGTGCGCTGCGTGCTGTGAGGTCGGCGGTAAGCAGAAGAGAGTGCGGGCGGCAAGTACTGCAAGTACCACTGCGACGACAGTGTTCGCTGGGCAGCATGCTGCTTCAGACGCACATGCACAAGCTCATAATCATTGGCGCGTTGTTGGTGACGACGCCGTCCTGTGTGCGCAGTGCACGCACAGGTGCTCGTTGCGTCCATGTAGACAGCCCTTCGTCTCCTTCACGCACACCGCAGAGGAAGAGGCGAGTGAGTGAGAGTGGGTGTTTGGGCTGTGGCTGTTGGGTGGGTTGGCCTGTCAGCTCTTCTGTTAGTCTGTTAGTCTGTTGGCTGCAGTGCTAGCAGTGCTTCTGCTTGTTGACTTTAGAAGAAAAAAGCAGGAGAGGCAGAAGAGGCAGGAGAGGGACGGGTTCCTGGGTTCCCTCTTCCTCGGCTCTGCTCTGCTGTTTAGGACTTCTTGGCTGTTGCAGAGAGACGTTTGCAGACGTTGCGGACAGTGGATGTCTCTGTGTTCTTGTGTGTTGTGTGTTGGTGAGACTGCTGCTGGGACGCAAGGGAGGAAGGGAAGAAGGGAAGAAGCGGCTCTGCTGCTTGTTTTCTTGTGTGCGTTTTGCTGTTGCTTGGCTTGATGTTTTCCTTCCTCCAACTTGGCTTGCGAGAGAGTGAACAATTTTTGATATGCAGATTTTCCACCGAACTTACAACAAGAGCGCGACTCAGTAGTTGAGGGGTACAATTTCCGCCTGCCAATTTCTCCCAAGCGCTTAACCAAGAGCGCTTCAGTGCGCGGGAGGCCCGGGTTCAAATCCCGGCTGAGTCACTGTTCTATTCTTTTTTTTTTGTTTTTTTTTGCTGCTTCTTCTCTGCTTGTGCACGCACACTGCTCCAAGTGTGCTGTTTGCGTTTTTTTGGCCTCTCACTCTCAAACACTCGGCACAACGGAAGAAAGTGCGTGCGTGCCATCACAATGCACATATGCGGGCAGGATCACAACAACACACCACCACCACGCAGCAAGACACAAGTAAACCCTTGGCGGGTGATGCGACTTCAAGACTTCATGCGATACAGCTGTCTCGTCACATGAACATAAGAAGTGAGTTGCTTGTGAGGAGTTGCCTCGGGTGTGCTTGCTTGCAGGCAAGAAGTACAGACTCACCCTCCCTTTTTTTTTTTCCTCCACGTGCGTTCTTGTGCCGCCCTGTTTGGATGCTTGGCTGGGTTGAGTGCGTGCGTGCGTGCATGCAGGCAAGAGGGGTTCTTCCTTGCTCCACTTGTGTGCGCATTTATTCGCTGTGTGCGTGTGTGTGCGTGTGTGTGTGTGTGTGTGCGTGTGTGGTTGTTGTTGTCATGTGGACAAAGACACACAACCCCGTGCTTGTTCTTGTTCTCCCTTTTCCTCCATGTATCCCACCACACCGTTATACTTCACGTCTCCAACACATGCCCTGGTCCACACCGACAGCCAACGCATGCACACCTCTCACGGACAGCATTCTCTGAACTCTCAACTCTCAACTCGACGGGCGCAGGTGTGTGGGATGGAGTGTCGGCGAGCTGACCACCAGCCATCGGAGGTGCGCGCGACGGATCGAAACAAACCACCATCAAACATGAGGTGTGTGGCCCAGCGCCGGGTCCCCCGTTGCCATTGGCTCATGCAAGCGGAGAAAGATGAGGCGGGGACGTTTAACTGGCATTGGCAGTGCGGTGTGTGTGAGTGAGTGAGTGAGTGAGTGAGTGAGTGAGTGAGTGAGTGAGTGAGAGTGTGTGTGTGTGAGTGAGTGAGTGAGTGAGTGAGTGAGTGAGTGAGTGTGTGTGTGTGTGTGTGTGTGTGTGTGTGTGTGAGCGTGTGTGTGTGTGTGAGGGGAGGGGTGGTTGAGTTGACAAAGGGTATATGCACTGGAGGCCGCACAAGTGTCCTTGTGAGTGTTATGGAGGTGCTACAGCGAAATGACTGCACTCAAAGAGAGACTGTGCAGCCTGTGACGGCAGCAGCAATGCCAACACCACCATCAGCAGCGACAATGCTGCTGCGGCAATTAACCCTCATCTCATTCTCTCCCGCTCTGCTGCTTGCTCACTTTGCGATGCACTGCCATGCAGCCCAAGGGACGGCGCGCTGTGACGACAGCCACGGCTTGATGGTGCGACGGGCCGCCTACTGAAACTCATGGCATACCTCGGCTGCTGCTGCAAACGTGACGCTGGTGTTGTCGTTGCCGCTGTTGGCGCTGCTGCCAAGTCAGTGATTGAATGTGTTGTGTGTGCGTGTGTTAGTGGGTGTGGTGAGTATTGCTGTATTACATACACCTCTCAGCCTGCTCAGACAACCCACTGTCCCATCTCCACGTCCGCACACACACACACACACACACACACACACACACACACACACACACACACACACACACACACACACACACACACACACACACACACACACACAACACTCACTCACTCACTCACTACCTGGTGTCGTTCACTTTGTGGTTGCAGTTTTGCCGCGAGGTTTGAATGTGTCACTCAAAACGGGCACGTTTTCTGTTTGGGGATGCCGTGTCTTATTTCCCGGTGCCGCTTTCTTGGTGGCCAGTCAGTACCCTCAGTGCTTGCAGCCACCCCTTCCCTCCTCTTCATCGCAGAGACGACGTTGATCATGTGACGACGACGGCCACCACCGTGTCCACCACCACGATGGCCACAATGACCACTACCATGGCGTAGGGGCGCGAATGGCTGGACCACAGACGCGGCATGTGGTGGTGCTGGCGTCCATGTGTGGCGGCTGACGCGCAGGGCGTTACAGTAGCGACAGCGGTGATGATCTGTGCCACGTGTGCACGTGTGTGCACGTGTGCGTGTGTGTGTGTGCACGTGGGGTCTGTGGACCAAGTGTCTGGTAGGATTTGTGGGAGTTGCACCCGAAGATCGCGACAATGCAGCAGGTAGGTGTGTGCATGTGTGCATGTGTGCGTGTGTGTACGTGCGTGCATACGTGTGTGCATGTGTGTCGTTCCTTTTGTGTGTGTGCATGTGTGTCGTTCCTTTTGTGTGTGTGTCGTTTCCTTGTGTGCGTGTGTGTGTTTGCCCAGTGTGTTTTGTGTGCGAGAAATTTTTGGTGCGTGCTTGTACCCAATCTCAACACCTGTCCCTCCGAATGCTCATGTTCTATGACCACTCACGGGCCCTGTTGTTGGCATGTTTGTATTATTCACAGGCACACAGCAGTTGCAGAAGACGGCAGCACCACGCCCAAGCCAACGGTTCCACTAGCCACCAGCACACGCCACCACGATGTACACCAACGGAAGCAGCAAAAGCAGCAAAGCGACGAAAGAAGCAGCAAAGCGACGAAAACTCTGCTGTGAACAATCACCTAATACCACATGCACGGCGCCACAGACCAGCCGAAGCAGCGTGGACAGAGGAACACAACCATCAACCCATCAGCCCATCAACCTATCAACCAGCACTAACATTGGTGCAAGGTGCGCTTGTAGCCACAACCACACCTCATCAGAGGCAACAACCACAACAGCAACCACGCGCACGCAAATGAACCCATTTGGAGGGACAACACAAACGCCACTGCCAGCAGGCAACAGGCAATAGGCAGGGAATGGCAGCCATGATCCCAGCACTTCTGCCCCTCCGCATCCCTTCACTCCTGCTCTTTCGTCCCCTGCTGCTGCTGCTGCTCCTCCTCCTCTTCATCATCATCGCTGTCGTCGCTGACGTCTTCGTCTTCCTCATCGGCCTCGTATCCACCATCAACGCTGTCTGTGCACCACGGGCCGTGCACTGCCTCTACATACGGCTGCTGCTGGTGTTGCGTTGTCATCATCATCGTCATCATGTCCAAGGGATGTTCCGTGGCTGGCTGCATGAGTCCTGGCACCACGTCCTCCAACAGCAGCAGCGCCGTGTCGTCATTGTGACCGCGCGTGTCCTCCTCCTGCTGGTGCTGGTGCCATGGCGACCACATCTCGCGCATGCCGCTCAAGGCCTGGGCCATGACCGGGTGCATGGAGGCGAAGGACGGACGGGTCCGCGGGTGGTGCCTGTGACGATGGCGGCGGCGGTTGCGATGGTGGCGGAAGTCGTGGCCATCATACTGCTGCTACTCAAGCACGATGGAGGCACACGGGTGACACAGCGAGAGGTGAGCATGCGTGGCAGTAGTGTGATTGATTGTGTTGAGTGGAATGGCTGGGTTGGCTTGCCGTCACCTCTCATTCGTGTTTGTGTGTCCTTCAGGCACCGTCATGCTCACATGTATGTATGCGTGCGTGTTTGTGTTTGTTTGTTTGCGTGCCACAAGTGTGTATGT